CGGCACAGCAGGTGGGCCCGGGGAGGGCCTCCGGGGAACCGGGATGTGAGAGAACTGGGACCCACGGGGCTGGGGAGAGGGATCGGGGAGGAATCGGTGCCCCATGGGGCCGGGGAGAGGGATGGGGAGGGAATGTGTGACCCACAAAGGCTGGGGAGAGGGATCTGCGGGGGAAATCTGCCCCACAAGGGCTGAAGAGAGGAGGATAGGGGGAAATGTGTGCCCCACCGGGGATGGGGAGAGGGATCGGGGAGGCTCTGTGCCCCATGGGGCTGGGGAGAGGGATGGGAGGGGAATCTGTGCCCCACGAGGGCTGGGGAGAGGGACTGGGGGGGGCTCTGTGCCCCCTAGCAGCTGGGAACAGGAATGGGGGAGGAATCTGTGCCCCACAGGAGCTGGGGAAAGGGATGGGGGGGCTCTTTGCCCCATAGAGTCCTGTGGGTGACCACGGTTCCCCATGGAAACCTCTGTGCCCCATAGGGGTCGGGGGATCTGTGGGGGAACTGGGTGCTGCACAGGAGACTGGGGTTCTGGGTAGGGGACCGCTGTGCCCTATAGGGGTCAGAGGATCTGGTGAGGGACCGCTGTGCCCCATGGGGACCCCTCAAACCCCATGAGGGCCCATGGATTGACCCCTCGGTCCAGGATCTCTCTTGATGTGAGGGGTCAGCCCCCTGGAAGAGACCGTGGGCCCTGGCACCAGTGATTTTCTGACCAGTCCTTCCTTGTGCTGAGCTTTGATTTTTTAATATTCACATGTGAGCGTACAGACCTGAGAAACTTCATTGTGTTTGAGATGCCTTTGCCTTCCAACAGAGCGTGGGCGCAGGCTGCGGCCGGCTGGTGATGTGTTTCTGTTAATAAACACTTAGCAGAGCCTAAGCGCCTGTGAGAGCAGATAATTGGGTGGTATGTGGGCTGGCCTCAATGCACTCAGCAGGACACCCAGCCGGGGACTCTTCCTTCAATGCCGAGTGCCAGCTCTGTGTCATACTTGTTCCTTTGAACATAAACACGGGGACGGGGCGCTGGAATCCCAGAGGCGGTTGCTGGGAGGGTTTTACTGGGAGTCAGCAGCCTTGTAATGTGGTTTGAGGTGGCTGGTGAGTCACCGTCACCTTCCTCTTGCTCACCCGAGCGCATCCAGGTATCGACACCGAAGCCGAGACCTGCGCCTGGTTTCTCGACAAAGTTTCTGAAGCCTTAATTAGGACCTGGCTGTCATTAGGGTTGTGTCAGGCGCTCGTGTGTTTATGGAGCGTGGTGTGCGAGTTCAGGGAGTCAATGCTGCGAGGCCAGCGCCGCGGCTCCTCCCGGGCTGGTTTCTGTGTGTCCAGGCCAAAGGGAAATCGAGGGCAAGAAAACAACTTTGAAGCTCCTGGGAAACCTTGTGATATTTCCAGTGGTTGGTGTCGTCCCCTCTGCACTCCATGTTCTGTTTGAAGCCTGTTTTGTCGTTGCTTGGCTGCTGGGGATGTTTAGCCATAAAGGGCTGGTTTATCTGGACAATAAACAAACAGGTGCACGATAACATACTAAATTAAATTAATAAAACTCTGTATTTTGTGGCTGGGGGGAGGCTGTCAGTACAATATTTGCTTTCAGATGCTCCAGGCGAGGTGGACGTAGCGGTGCCGTGTTTGGGTTGGTGCTCAGCCGCCTCTCGCTGGACGCACCCTTTGTGTTTGGGGTGCACTTGGTGGTTTCGGGAGGTTTTTGTGTTTGGGATGCGCTGTGTTTTGGGCTGTACTCTGTGTTTTGGATGCCGTTCAAGCAGGTCCTGCTCTTTCCCCGGGGCAGAGAGCACACAGAATGAATGGTGGACACTGCACGAGCGCAGAATGCTCCTAGAAATCACGCGGTTTAGAACAAAAGTGCCCGCTGCTGGCGTGCGTTAAAGGCAGTGAATTTGTGCTGCTGCTGCAGTTTTAGGGACCTGCCAAAACCTAAGATCTCTGTGTAAATATATAAATCTCTATTCCCAGGTGCTGCCGTCTCATCACATCAGGTCTGAACACCTAACGGTAGTGAGGTGCTTGAGCGTTCATTTCCCTCCGAGGTGTTTCTCTGGAGCAGGTTTCTGAATTCATCTCCTTCGGTTTTGCATTTTCTCTGAAGCAAACCGCTTTTCTCTATTCTCTGTCATTGCTTGCAGTGCATTTTCAAAGGAACGAGGTGCAAATGTGGTGGAGAGGCAGATTTGCATGCTTTATTTGCTGCCGTGTGGCTGGTGAGGAGCACGGAGCCGCTGTTTCCCAGGCGGTTTTTCCTATCGGATCTGTGGAGCAGGGAAGCCGTGGCCGCAGCAGTAACACAAAGCGTTGGAGTGTGGCGCTGATAATTCTCTTTGCCAGCCCCAGTGTGGTTTGGGTGTCATCGAGAGGTGATCGAGCACATGAGGCAGCGGCGTGCGGATGGGGTTTTCACAGTTTAGGGTACCCTGAGCGCTTGATACGCAGCGCTCGATATTCTGGAGCTGCATTTCAGAGAGGGATGAGGCTGTGCCTGTGACAAACGCCCTTCCTGGTGTTGGTGAGTGGCAGTCCTGGGGCTGTGAGGATGCTCGGCTCTCCTGTGTTGATTAGGGCTTCCTCGGCTGGAGAGGCATTAAGAGGCATTAAGATAGCAGCTGGAAAGAAGCTGGAATGAAAGGTATGAGGGCGTGGGGTGTGTGCGCTGCTGGTACCGTGTCAGCCTCGGAGGCTTTGCACCACTTCAAAGCCCTGGCCTCTGCGCATTTCTTTGTGAAGCCAGATAAGAGCTCAGAGGAGAGGGGCTGAGCTGAAATGCAGGAATTTTGGGCTGTGTTTCTTTCTTTCTTTTTCTTTCTTAACCCTTCCCAGTCTGGGTTTGAAAACAGATTTTCTAAGAAGTGTCTATTTGTGATAAGAAATGTGTTCCCTGGCACCTGGGGCCGTGTGATCGTGACGTAGGTGGAAGATTAAAGGCTTTTCTTTCTGGTTTTTAACTGAACAACCTCTGTTGTTCTCAGTCACCCGTGCCTCTCCAGAGCCTGTTTGTCAAAGCAGTCTCCCTGTTTCTGCAGGTGGTACAAGCTTTGCTCCAAACCAGGGAAAAAGGAGAAGGAGAGAGGGGAGATCGAGGTGGATATCCAGTTCATGAGAAGCAACATGACGGCCAGCATGTTCGACCTGTCCATGAAGGACAAGGCTCGCTCTCCTTTCGGCAAGCTCAAAGAGAAGCTGAAGGGGAAGAGGAGCAGCGCCCTCTCGGACACAGCCTCAGCGATCGTTCCCAGCACAACGCACTCCCCTGCTGACAGCGAGGACGAGTCGGTCGAGAAGGAGAAGAAGAAATCCAAGTTCAAAAGCTTGTTTTCCAAGCCTGGCCTTTCCAAGACCTCCCTCTCCCAGTCCATGTCAGTCCTGCCGACGCTGCAGCCCGTCACCCAGAAGGTTCGGCTTCGGCCCAGCGACTTCCAGTTGCAATGGGATGAGGAGGAGTCCGAGATCTCTCCGACCTCGGAAAGTGAGTATAGGCACAGGGCCTTTCCTCAGAGGTCTGCTGCTGCTCTTCACACTCTGTAGTCTGCTTCTTGAATTCTTACTGAATCCATAGGAAGTCACTTCTGTCCTCTTAGGGTCTTAGACGCTCATGGCTGAGCTTACCGTGGGGTGGCACAGAAACCTCAGGGCTCTGCAAGGGGTGCAGCTCTGCGGTGGCTTTGGGTCACTGAAGGGTGTGTGTGATCCACTGTGCTGAGGGCTGGCACTGGAGGGGACCCAGAAGGATTGGAAGTGGTTGGTGTAGTCACGTTTGTGATATTTCTTCTGCTGTGTCCAAGAATGACACTGAAGCGCTGAGGCTGTCAGTAGCAAGCGTCAGAGGAAAGGATGTTCTTGCATCTTGAGTTTCTCCCTGTTTATTTTTTTCCAGAAGCCTTTGGAAATGGCCTGGAAGAGAAGTCCTCTCCTTCTCCTGTATTTAAAACCCGTAAAACGGCAACTTTGGACAGCAGGCAACTGAACCAGGTAACCGCTGGCCACACCAAGAGAGAAGGGCTCTCCTTATTCAGCGGCCTTAAATCCAAGAGCGATCCCGTCTCCAAGTCCAGTCTGTGCATCAACGGCAGCCACGTCTACATGGAGGAGAGCACCCCGAAGGACAGCACTCCAGCCTCTTCCCCCTCCCCTCTCAACTTCAGGAGGAAGCAGCTCTTTGCTTCAGAAGAGAACCTGTCCTCCAGATCCGCGAAGGGACCTGAGGAGACGGGAAGAACCTCTCCCAGTCACGCCTTCTCTGGGTCTGCATCCTTGGAGACCTTCAAGTCCATGTCTTTGCCGTCATACAAGTTGCTCAGCAGTGAAGAGTACCTGGACACCAGCGTTCCTCCGAGTGTCGAGGGCACTAAAGAGACCAAAAAAACGGACCACAGGAAGCCCACCTTGCTGTCGCTGGTCACGGGGAAGAAGGAGGCAGTGAAGACCGGTGATGCTGAGAATATTCCCGACAGCACCCTGCAGGACGAGGACATCAGAATTCCCGAGGAGAAGAGCGAGCAGGAGGCCAAACGACCTGAGATTCCAGCAGAGGTGGGCAAAGAGAGTCCCTCAGAGGACAGCCAGCGCGCAGAGGACACCTTTGCAAGCAAGCAGCCGCTCAACCCTTTCGAGGAAGAGGGGAAACCCGAAAAAGCTGCTGCACCAGCAAAGACCAAAGCTGTCAAGCCCAGGTCAGTCGTGCTTTCCTCCGCGGTTGACATAAATAGCGACGTGCAGCGGTGATGGGCTCAAACCGGGCTGCTTCCTGCCGCAGAGCAGCACTTCCCATCGCCGTGTCCTGCCGCTCGCTCTGCAGGGTCCCTGCTGCTTTGAGCTGAGCATGAGGTGCTTTAATAACAAAAACCCTGGGTTCTTTCTCGGTGTGAAAAAAGAGTTTGGTGCAGGAGTGTTCCTTATAAAGCCGAGATAGCGGCTCTGTGAGCGCAGGAGTGTTTGCAGGTAACGGAGGGGTGGTTTTTCTTGCTGGATCTCTTGCAGAAACTAACTCCTAACTGGGCTGTGCGACCCGAACGTAGCCAGGGGCTGAAATACCCGCTCTAACACCTCTACTTTTCTCCTCTGTGTTTGGCTGTGGTCTTCAAAAGTGATAAACTTGGAGCCCTTCTGCTTTTGGCGTTGTTCACAGCAGCACGAAGGACGTTTGTGTGAATTCGTACACCAGGCTTTTTCGGAAACTCTGCTCCTTTATCCTTCCTACATATTTTTATATATACATAAACTGTGTGTGTATATATGGATGTGTCCTACTAATAAGGCTGTGTTTTCTGTCTGTCTCTTAACTCCTGATTTTCTCACCTGTAAACGTCTTGCATATGAAGTGTCCTGCGTACTAACAGAAGTGCTTGGGGTGCAAAGGATGAGGTGCTGAAGCGCAGCCCCCGCAGTAACCAACTGCAGCAGAAGTGCCCTGGCAGAAGCTCAGCACTTTGCAAAGCCACATTTCAGTGTGTGAAGTCTGTCAGCCAGGCTCTGAGCTCTCTTGCAAGTGTAATTCACCTCCAGCGTTAGGAGTTGATGGAGTCTGGTGCTAAAGCTTGTCTGTTCCTGCCTCGTGTTGCATCCGCAAGTGACATGCGAGTTTTTTGTCCCTTTTTGCAGACCGGGCGTGTCTTCACAGGAGGAAACCAAAGCCACGCTTCCTGCTCTTGCACCTGATTCCCTTCCTGCTTTTCTCTCTGTGCACTGCATCAGCAGTGACAATAATCCCTTCATTTCTAAAGCAGGACGAAAGGTCCAAGCGCCAGACTCTGAAAACATGGCTAGTTCTGCTGCGTCTGTTACTTCTCCTCCTTCTCCTTTTGCTGCAGAGCGTTTGAATGGCAAGAACCCCTTTGCTCCCCAGTGGGACAGGGCGTCCCTGGGTCCTGGTGGTGATGCCCGTGTCCCTTCGTCCCATCACCTCGCAGCCCCCGCTCCCAAAGCGCCTGTCCCTGGGCAGGGCTCTGGTAGTGGTAAGAACCCTTTTGTTGCCGACTGGGGGCAGAGCCGGCAGGGCCAGGGTCCCGAGCGCTCCGACATGCAGGCTTCTCCTCGCCCGCCCACGCCTTCGCTCCCCTCTGACCATCGTTTTAATGACAACAACCCCTTTGTGGCCCAGCTTGGGTGGGAAGCAGGCGTGCCAGGTTTGGAAGCTGTTGCTCCTTCCTCCCCTCTCCGCTGTCCTGGCGATGGGGGCCGTTCCTCAGCAGCGCTCCCTGAGCCGAAGCACTCGGGGCACGATGCTTCAGTGAACTCTTCAACCGGTGCTGTCCAAGCTGTGCCACAGCCTCTCGGTGCTCTTTCTAACCCTGCTCTGGCTCCAAAGAAGCAGCGCGATTCTCCCCAGCTTCAGGCTGAGACTCCTTTGAGTACAAGTGGGATAGACGGTGTCAAATCTGTGTCCTTCCTCCTCGATGGATCTGAGGGTGGTGAGGGTTTGGGTGGGCAGGGGTGTGAGAAGCAGCGCTCTGGTTTCAGTGAGCTGTCACTGACGCGCTCAGGCGCAAGAGGAGAGCGAGCAAGGATTGCTCGTGAGCTGGAAGCGAGGTGTGACCCCTCATCAGAGCTCTGCGGTGACAGCGCAGGTCCCACCCAAAGCAGGCAGACCGCTGGTCAGCGCAGGGTGGGAGCAGGCGGTGTAAATACCGAACCCTGCACACGGGACGGGAGAGACCTTGCACCTCTCCCAGAGAGTAATAACAGCCTCTTGGCAGGGATGGGTGCTGAGCAGCCGCCTTCCCCTGGGAGTGAGCTGGAGGAGAAGCAGGAGGTCCTTGGTGAGAAGAGACAGGAAGGATGTGCACTCATGTTAGAGCCCTGGGCAGCTCCACTCGATGAAAGGGACTCATTTTCTCAGGCGGGATCTGCCACACCAACCTGGGCAGCCTGCACCCCGTCCCCTGGGGACGCTGAGGCAGGGCGGGCTGGCAGGGAGGTGTTGGTCACCCCAGAGCCAGCACCACGGCTGTCTTTGGTGCTGCAGAAGTGCCCACCGGCTGCTCAGGCCGATGCGTTTAGTGGTGAGGGTGTAAAACCTGCGCCTGGGCTCCTCTTGCATGGTGATAAAGCCTTGGATGCCCCTGGGTGCCTCCCCCACAGTGGCTCATTAGAGGCTGTCGCTCCAGCAGTGGTGCTCGGAGGTGACAGCGGTGACAGGCATTTGAAAAATGAAGGTGACGATGATGTATTTGACTGCCTGGCACACGTAAAGTCTGCTGTCCCCGTTACAGGAGAGCGCGGTTCGAAGGTGGCCGTTCTGCCTGTCATTCCCGAGGGGGGCTCTGACGATGAGGAGCTGGGGGACAGTCAGGAGAGCTGCGGTGTCACTGCAGGTGACAGAAACAGTCCAGAGGCCGGGAAGCAGCCCCTGGGTTTAGTGCCTTTGCATGGGGAACCGAAGGAGCGCTCCCAGAGCTCTGCTGCGGCACAGGTAACCCCAGGAGCAGCAGGAGGAGCTGACTCAGGCCAAGGGACAACGTCTCATTCCAGGGAGCACAGTGGTTATTTTGAGAGACGGGATCTGAAAATGAGGGCGGGTGTGGAGGAGTGTGCTGAGCCTGACTTCTTTGAGCCTTCTGTGTCTTCTTCCTCCCTCTTGAACCCTTCCCAGCCCTACTCTGCCTCTCATTCTCTCCCCTCTGACACCCCGAGTCGTAGAGCAGAGTCTCCGAAAAAGCCAACAGCCGAGGGCTCCGCAGATAAAGCAGGAAACTCTGGCAAGAAGAAGCTTCTTCAGGCACGGGTTTCACCCTCTGAAACGTACCCTAACCAAACTCAGCAGAGGGGTGAAACCGTGTCTCCTAAGCACAGGTGAGAGCGCGTGGGGAACACACCGAGTGTCCCGGTGCTGGTGTGAGCCTTGCCTTTCCTCCTGGGAGCGCAGATCTGTCCCTGCAGCGGCAGAATTCGCTGCGTTCTGCAGAGATGTGGCATGGTACAGCCTGGGCGTCCCCCAAAATTGCTGGGATCCTCCTGGGATCGATGCTGGCACCGGATAGATCTGTACAGCTGTGAGGGGTGCCCAGAGCGCTCGAGGGGATCTGCTGTTCATCCAGTGCCACCTCGTAGGATAAATGCCGGGGAAATTTGGTCACAGTTTAAGAAATGGAGTTGTTTCATCAAATGGAGTGCAAGTCATCTGTTTTTTGGAAAGGGGAGGATGGTCAGAGGAAGCCTGGTAGACCAGGACGCTTCCTTTCCTGGCCAAATTGGGGTCTAGGATGCTTTTGGGCCAGTGTTTGCTGAGATCCAAGCACAGTTTTCTTCCTGTGTTAAAACCAGCAGTAGAAATCCTGCTCGAGCAAGTGGAGATGGTGCTTTTTGGCAGTTTGTGGCGTAGGTTCAGGTTGGAAAAGGCACAACGATGCTTGTCCCATGGCAGTGGAAGTGTTTGATGTTGTAAAAACCCACAAATACGTCCTTGTTAGGAAAGCCAGGCTCAGACACTGGTGTGAGGGGTGAGAGCCATGGCCGTGCAGACCGACCTGGCTTTCCTCTGGTGACCCTTCAGGAGGCATTTCCCTTGGCACTGCTGCTTTATCTCCAGTGCCTTGAGTCAGCAGAGTTGATAGAACTGGAGTATACTTAAAAAAGCCTACAGCTTAGACAGAAATGCTGTGTCTTCCCAAAGCTGAATCTCTCCTCTCTCTGCAGACAGGGGTAGGATTTTTCCTCAGTTTCTCGCTGTATTTGCTTTTATCTGAAGATCTGTGTAGTGCTGGTGTTACTGCACTGCCTAAATAACACAAACCCTTTCTAACGTTGCAGACTCCATCCTGTGAAGCCGATGAACGCCACGGCAAACAAGTCTCAGAGCAGAAACCTGAACGTCATCAGCACCATGAGTGAAAAGCTGCTGGAGATGAACGTGAAGGTATGGGGGAAAGCAGCACTTCAAAGCAGAGCTTGGGCAGTACATTGCCCGCAGTGGGTGCATTCGAGATGGTTTGCCCAGGCTCTTATCTCGTATCTCATGTCTCATATCTCTTATCTCATATCTCAGCCATGAGGTGGCCGTGCCAAGGTGACTCATGGGTGGCGCTACCCCGTTGGTGACGGGCGGGAGCTGCGTGACCTGGGTCTGCGCCGCAGATTTAATGAATTAGTCACTGTTTATTGTCAGATGTGATTAGTCCCCAGAGCTCATTCTCACCTTGAAATAAACGCGTGGCTCTGAAAGCCAAAAAGGTGGGAAAAGTGACCTCCAGTGGCAGAGTGAGTGTCCTGTGCCGATGGAGAGACCAGGCGCTGCTTCCTACAAGAGCAGCTAAGCAGTTTGCATAATCACTTGGATTTAAGGAGTTTTTTGCATAATCTTGGCCTCAAAAGAGACCTCCAGGCCTAAAGCATAACTTACAGGATGGGGAGAATGGCTGGAAACCTCTGCGGGTCAGCAGGGAAAACCCTGGGTACCGTTATTGTCTGCAGGGGTTTTTGGGGGGAAATGAGACGTCAGCACTGAAATAACCAGAGTGCCTCCTTCTGGCGTGAGTGGCAAAGAAGAAAATGCCAGTTGAACGATTCAGACCGACACGTGGCTGTTTGGAATGAGGTGAAAACTTGTCATTAGTGCTCTGGGGTGGTGCTGATCCCACGTAAGGCAGCACGCTTGGTGCAGGGATCAGCAGAAGCCGCTGTGTGTGTAGCTGTCAAGTTGGCTGTAGCTTCCACACATCCCTAAGCTGGCTGAGCTGCTGCATGGCTCTTTCGGTGTTAATTGCAGCGGAGTTTAGTTACAGAACTGACGTTATGCAGAGGTTTTGTGCTCAAAATGATGGCCTGGTTACCTCCATAGCAGCACTCTTGTTCTGAGAGCGCTGCCCAAGCTCTGTCAATGGTGTCTCTGTGCTTATTCTCACACTTATTTTGAGGCAGCTGCTCCTTTTCCTCCAATACTTCCCAGAAGCTGTTCTGCATCCTGGGGGTGCAGGAGCAGATAGTGTTTTGTAGGAGTTTTCCCTATTTGCGAATGCCCCAGAGGGGCTCTGCAGCCGAAGCCTGGCCTGGCTGCCTGCTTGTCTGGACACTGTTACAGCCTTGGCTGTGGTGCAGCTTCACAGAATCACAGAATCCCAGACCG